GTGGCTAAGGTATATTTCTGCACTTACAGCGGGAAGATTGTGTCCTGCAGTGGTTTGTTTAATAACTTGAAATGCTTGTCAGAGTTTGTCGAATGCCACAGAGTCATCTTGTATTGGGTTGTATTGAGCATTTGTAATTGTCTAACTACTATTTAGTCATAATCTTATACTCCACATAGAACTATAAGCAATATAAGGATATAAAATAAAATAAACACAACAATCTCCCTCCTTGCTTCTGTCCCATCTAGCTTGCTTGCTTCTAAATAACCCTTAGCAGTAATAATTTTTCTTGGAAGATTTAGCTCCTTCTGTTCCCATTGACGACAAGCTTATCGTGTTTTGGTTCTCCCAAATCTCTTTGCAACACTTGCTAGATATGTGTAAAAGTCACTGCAGTCTCTTCCTCTTGCATGGCCAGTTTACTATACTCCATGTGAATCATCTTTGTTGTTGCCTTTGAGGACTGTTTCACAAGTTGGATCTTCAAGAGTCAAACCACCCGATTCCATGTTCTGTTTATTGGATCTTTATGCATGTCCAATTTTTCATGCAAGAAGTGATTTATGTCCTTTCTTCAAGACTATGAAGCATTTTATTTAACTAAGTCAGTTTATCTTGTGCTTCCAGATCTTTAACTTCTGTTTCCAGAGAAGTATATTCATCAAGCCACTGTTTTTGTCTCAGCATAGCAAATGTTATAATTCAGTCATTAAGGCCTCCCACTGAGTTCACAGAGAGCTACCATTTCCAAGTTTTCAGAGACTCTTTTTTTGGTCCTTTGTTTTAAAGTGGACTTTTCCTAATAAGGAGTTATTTAAATCTCACTTTTTCATAGGGGAATAGATGGATGACAACATGAAGAGAACTGGAGCATGACTTGAATGAGAAGAGGGAGAGCAGAAGGATCAGGCAGCAATCTGACAGCAAACATGATGATGGAGGTGCTGGAGCACAACACTTCTTCTATTAAAGCCCTTCATGTTAACTCTTGCAGAATTGTAGTCAGATCTTACAAGGAACTCTTACAGAATCTCAAAGTGATCCTCACTTTGCTTTCATTCTTCATCACACTCCTTATACTTCTGCTATTGCTCCCTTCCTTTCTCTTTCTTTTTCTTGCACTTGTCTTTTCTGCACTTATCTTTTCTGTCCCAGATGGAATATCCCACTCTCCTCCCCCTAAGCCCTTTTGCTTGCCAAGATCTCACATCTTTCAAATTCCTCCCTAAAACCTACTTCATCAGGGAATTTTCGCTCGTTATCCAAGCCAGATGCCTTTCTTGCTCTGAATATTTTTTCCATATCTTCTTTTGTGTGTCTTAAGACCTGGATATCTGGCAATTGTGGATTATCAGTAGTTTTCTATCTTGAGACACAATAAGAATTCCTACAGCTTCACTATTTTGACTGAAATAGCCTGAGGGTCCCTCTATCCTTCTGTTGCCATTCAATAGCTTCCCCTCTTTAAAAAAAAAAAGGGTGTGTGGGGCGGGGAAGGGGGCAGAGATGGCCTCAGTGATTGCAAGAATATGGTTTTAAGGACTCCAAGTTTCTACTTTTCAAGACGACTGCAAAAGCATCTTCTTGGTCATACTTTCATGAAAATTAAAGGTGTGCATTCAGTAGTGTTAAGAGGATAGAAAGGTAGTTGACTCGAAAAAATAAATAGTTTCCTCCAAATATGCTGAGATTTTGCTGTAGATTATTCACTTATGCATACACTGCCCTGGAGAACTATATTAAAACATCACCATTTCAATCCAAATATAAAATACAAATTTAGTAATTGCTGCTGACCATAGCAGTCAGTTTTCAGGAGCTTTGAAAGAAAGTGCAGTAAGTTCGCTTCTCTTGCTAATTTTTATTCTCTATGAAATGCTGACTACAACTTCAGTAACATAAGCAATACCTATATAGAGGTTCTTGTCCTGTTTCATTCTGATAAATTTCAATGGTGCTGCTTTGGCATGTAACAAGAGTAACTTGATAGTTATTCAAGCCCAGAATAGGGCTTGAAAGAAAGGGCTTCCTTAATTACCTGTGTAATATCTGTGGAATTTAAGTCTTCATTTATTCCTGCCCAGACTGGGTGATCACAAGCTGCCACCATACCCATGTATAGATTTAATGCAAAGATATTTCACTGTCAGATGTAGACTTCATTACTACTAACACAATTACAAACACTCTCAATCGTGACAGAAGATTTCCTGTACTCACGGGGAATTACATTAGTACTGATAGTGTGTGTGTTGTGGAGAGAAATCCACTCCTGATATTGACTCTGAATTAGTAAATGGACAGCTGAGGAACAAATGGAACTATATTCTGAAATTCTTCTGGGTTGCACACTTTTGCAATGCACTGTGAAATGACGTGCTCTTGTAAGGTAAACTGGACTATATAATTTATTGAGCCCTTGTTTGCCTCATTCAAGCACACCTCAAGTGCTTTAAGCAAACACACACATATTGAATTCCTTATACTTACTAGGTGCCAAAAGGTGTATCTCTTTACATTGACATATCTTGGGAACAATTTCAGAGTGTCATCGGATTCAACCAAAGCTGTACTTGGCTCTGATGAAAGAGTTGAGTGTTTCACCTTGGCTGAATGACAATCTTTGCCTTATTTTGCTCTTCCCTCTCTCAGCCTCTCTCATGGACAATATACACATCAAGACACTTCCTCTGAGTTTTGAAAAAGTTTTGTTTTTGAAAAACTGAGAACTTAAACTCTCTACTAAACGCTACATTTTGGTCATATTGAAACATTTAAATCGACAAAACAAGACAATTGCCAGCTTTCTTTCACCTGTTAATAAGAGAAAGACTGACAAACAAGAACTAAAATAGTTTTACAGTGTTGCTGAGAACAGTATTAAAATATTCTTGGCATTGTAAAGAAGAATACGTATATGCATGCAAGGGTCCAGTTGATCCTTCTCCTATACTGCCATATTTATGTGGGATTTTCCCTTTTCTTGGCTTATATTTCAAAGTCAATCTTGTGGTTGCAGTTGCAGGCAGTATAACCTGATAGGACTGGATTCAGAATCTGTTGTGGTTTAACCTGGCAAGTAGCTAAACATCTCTCAGTTTCTCTCACACACCGCACCTCCCCCCCCCCCACTCCCTAGTGAGTAGGGGACAGAATTGTAAAAGTAAGAAGAGATAAAAGCAATTTAATGAATAAAATAAATGAAACTGAAGAAATAATAATACTAATGTATTTTTATAAAAATAGGAACAATAAGAATAAATCAATCAAAGTTATACTCAGCTGGCCATGCACCAACAAAAATGTGATGGCCAACAACAGGAGAAGGATAAGCCTCAAGATCAGAATGAACTAGACCATTTGGAGATGGCAGTCTGAAAATGAAGGCCATTCTCAGCAAACTCCCCAGTTTATAGTGAGTGTGATGTTTAGGATAAAGAATGCTTTTTGCTAGTCAGCTTGGATTATACTTGGGTCATCTGTCATTGCTATGTCTTGCCATCTGGCTATATCCCCTCCTAACTTCTTACAAAGAAGAAGCTGGGAGAATTGAAAAACAGTCAGGCTTTGACTTAATGTAAACATTTCTTGATTTCTTGGCAACAACCAAGACATCGTTGTGTTGTCAATATTATTCTCAATCCAAATCCAAAACAAAACCTCACTAGATACTATGAAGAAAATTAACTCTGTCCCAGCTAAAACTAAAACAAAGTGTCTTACCAACTCGTTTTCACTAAAGTGTACACTGCAATTCTCTCAGAAATACAGCTCTCCTGAATAGAAAATTGATTCTGTAGCAGCAAAACCAGAACAGACTCTTATGCTGCTAAAGGACACTGTGAGGAGATAACCAATCACCTACATGGTACATATTCAGAGGGGACTAGTCATAATCTGCTTCTAAAAGCGGAATAGTTTTTAGTGGTTGGATCATACCAGACAAAGGCCAAGCTTCTGTCACAGGCCAAGTCTTCTGACTTAGTGCCACCTAAAAGGCACCCAGTTTTGCTGCCCTGTATCTCTCGTCCGTGTGAGCCAAAGAAGGTAAGTGGGGATGATCAGGAATATAATTTCAGAAGTGCACTCCTGATCCAAACCAGAATGCAAATGTATACTTCCTGTTATTTGGCCTTATAGCCCTTCACAGATCTTATCTGATGGCTGTTGATGGTGAGCAGCAGTCAGAGGGTGCTGATAGCTGCACTGGCAGAGAATTCAGAAACACTGAATCTGGACAGACCAGACCTTAGAGATTATGGTCAGCTTGGGACATTTATATCTGCAGAGGACCTCTATAAGAAACTACATGAAAAAGAGAGGTTGAGGAAAAAGAATGAAGGGGAACAATGGTCTAGAGGACAAAAGAAGAGGGAGGAAAACATGCAAATTACATGCAGGCATAGGAGTACAGGAAAAAAGAAGGTGGTATACATCACAAAGGAGATTGCCTTCCCTCACGTCCCTTCAATATTTCTTTCTTGTTATATGTAAATGTTTTTTTATGTACTTATCACTACAAAGCCAAGTACTGGCTCTTTGCAAATTGTCCAGTGTTCTGTGTGTTCATATTTTTCCATTTGTAATACTGTTAAAGAGTTAGGGACTTTAGTCTCCATATAACAAATATAGTATACTTCTGATTACCTAAACACAGCTTTGGGACAGTGTTCCCTCTTTAAGAATATAAAATACATGCTACATAGTGCCCAGGGGTAAAACAGAGTAATAGAAAAAAAATAATGAAAGGAGCAATATCAGGTTTTGAAGGTGAATTTCAATACTTTTTAATATTTTCTAGATTACATTTGTGTAGAATGATGAACAAATTCAGTACTCTAAGAAATATATCTGAAAGTCATCTATTATTTTTGAAAGATACAGAAAAGTATATATCTGTTAATTACTTATAAGTGCTTTTGTTAAGGCCACAAAGAAAGAAAATGCATAGAGAGCTTGTCATCTAACACTTAGAAGAGTACATAAATTTGAACTGTACCTGTAGGATATATTGAAAGGGAATATTTTCATAGCACTACAGAGACCTTTCACTAAAAAAGAAAAATATTTCTTTCTGAACATGAACTTCAAAATTAGATAGCTATGTACCAGGCATGAAAATTTCCTTTCCTCAGTTAGTCACAAAAATTTTTCTACATTATTCTTTATATTGTTAATGTAAGCAAGTACCTCCTATACAATCAGAAAGCAAAGAGGTTAATGAATAATTTGGGATATAAAACTTCTCAGAATTCAGATAGCCTTTTCAGATTCATTTGAAGATGCTAGACTGCACATCAAACAGCATTATGAGTTCTTCTGTGGGATTTTGATTGTGACAGTCTTAACTTCTGTGTATTCATGAAGGCCATATTCTCCCCTAGATAAAAGAGAACCAAGAGTCATATTTATGCTAATGCTTTTTATATGAGTTTTGTCCTGGATGGGATTTTAAGTGGTGCTATGCAATTGGCCAGATATATAACAAGTGTACTGGATATATTCAGAAGACATATGTGCAGCTAGTGCTGTTGGAATCATTTAGAAAAGCTGTAGCAACTGTTTCCTGAGAGAAGTGGGAGAGAAAGCAATTTCATTTCTGTGTGAAAGAATGGCATTTATTCAATTTGGTGCACTTTTAAACTGGGCTTCTGTGTACCAAATCAGGCACTTGTTAGGTCTTCACAAGCATGCTCAACAAATTATTTGCAAACACTTTCCTATGGTGTCAAAAATTTTCTCCAGAGTCAAAGAATAGACACTTCATCTCAAGTAAAAGGTGGACATAATTAATCCACTATGAAATCTCCAGAAAGTGAAAAACATTTAGAAGTTCTTACTGACTATCAGTGTGATTCCACCTTTATGTTTTACCTGATGAGATGAAGCTTCCTTGTGTGCCTTGAAGTTTGATATCTGATTCAGTCAAACTATTTAGATATAATTGATTATTTTATAGAACAAGGGTTTGCTACAGTATAACATTATACTAATCTCACTGCCATCTTATTAGATACATATGAATGCAAACCAGAAATCTGCACTCAGGACTCTCGTGCTGTCGGAGAATGTTTAATGATTCTCTTCATTTTGAAAAGGCAGTTAATATGTGACATTCAGTAATTTAATTCCTAATAGTTTTATTATTCCAAGAATTATACAGGGAATGTTATTCTGGGATTCAAGGTAATCAGTGTCTTGACACACTGACTTCCTGATTAGGTAAGAGAAGTTGTTTTACATATCTTTCTGCCTCTTCTCAAATTGATTGCCACATGTTTTAAAAATGTTTTTCCATGCCAGACACCCATCTGGTCTTAATTCCTTCCTTGCCCTTTAGCAGGAATATTTTTATTGGTCCACTCATTGTGATTTTGAACCTAGCATTAGGGAAAACTTAATTTGCACAGAAGCTTAACTACTTCAAAATGCACTGTTATAGAGAATGTTAATCTTTATGATAGCCAATTATAATTTCCCTCTTATTTCCAGCAATTAAATCCCTAAAATATTTCTGCAAGGGTAGTTCAGAATTTATGATCTCCCAGTTTTTGACACTGAGCAAATGCAAAACAGTTCTTGACAGTATCTGCCTAAATTACCGGGTTTTTCTCATTTTAACATTTTCTAAAGCTCTCAACACTGGCGTAACTCTGTTTTCTTTGAAGTCAGTGGGGTCTTTGCCATCAAGAGCAGATTGAGTCCAGTGATGAGCAAGCACTAAAATCCTAGCCTTTATCTCTTAAAACAAAAAATGAAAAAAAAAGAGAAAAAGAAGGTCTGAAGTCCATATATATGTTTTTAATTACTTCCATTATTTGTTAAAAGCATTATGCATTTGACTTAATAAAAAGGAAAACATAGACTTTGATTCTTACTCATGGTTTTAAAAAAAATTATTTTTCCAATTGTATGGGATTATTAACTAAGGACTGTTTGTGATTTATATTTCAAAAAGCTGAGAAGACATAATTCTACATAACATAATGAACATGTATGATATAAAATGTTTGATGATGTAGCACATTACATGATTCTCTTGCTAATATGAAAATCAGGATGAATACAGGTAAGACAGGACATGATTGAAATTGAAACTGTACTAAACCTTAGAAGTTTGAAAGAATGTTTCCAAGACACTTCTTGTTTGGGAAAACACCAAAGGTCTGAAGACTACAGCGGACTATTTTTATCATAACTTTTGAACAATCTGGAAGGTACTGTTAGAGCACTGTGGTCACAAGACCTTTAAATTGAAAACCCTTTTTAAAATCAAGGATTTTGAAATTTCTTATGTTTTCAAAAACCTAGCACTTAAAGGGAATTCCACAAACTACATATACATATATCTTCATGAAAATGACACTTCCTATATATGTGCAAAAACTGTAAACCATAAACACAATGACCAGTTTTACAAACCAGTAGACTGCAAGCTACTAAAAATGGTCATTAAAGAAATGTGTATCTCTTATTGGTTTTATAGAGGAATTCTATACTTGATGTTGTCTCTGACAACATGATGCCTCTAGATACTATATAGACTAATATGACAAAATATCAATCTAGACATCGTAGTTATGAATGTTTAAAGTTGGGATTTGGAATTTCATTTAGCATTTCCTGTGAATCTACATTTTTAGAAGTATTACTTACATTTCTCGTCCATTTCCTGACATCTTAAATCCTCCAAAAGGACACTGAGCAGACAATGCACTATAACAATTAACCCTGGAAGCACAGGATAATTACATTTGAGACTGTGAAACAACTTTTTTCACTTTTGAAAAATGAGTATTTTTCTGTTGACTATAACAACTTATAGCGATATTCACAAACTATACCTGAGTAATGTATTTGCAAAAATATGTGTAGTTCAAGGTACAGAGAAGCAAAGTGTTATGAGAAACTGCACTTATGATAATGGTTATAATACTCATAAAGGGTCTTCAAGCAGAGTGACAGTCATATTTTTCTCTGATAATATTCCTTCCCAACTACTGTATGAGTTCTCAAACCACAGACTAGTCATAGATAAATCTGTTGCAGGTACACTTCCTATAGGTAAATTTAGAATCATTTCAGTTTATACTTAAGAAGTTTTGTGTGGTGCTATTCAATGTTAAACTGTATTCTGCATTAAGGTTGAAAATCAAAATACAACAATATGTTAGAAAGAAATTTCACAAAGGAATGTGTAGTATGAAGAGTTTCGGTACAATGTGTACACTCCTCCCTAGCTGAGAAGCAATTTTTGTCTTGCAACATTGTCAAATCAAATATCTTCTATTTTAATATCTTACAATTTGTCCTGCTGCCAGTCTACTGATTTCAACAGAAAAAGTTCTGCTCATAGTTAAAGATTCCTAGACAGACCAGAAATCATGTAAGACTAAAACCCAAATATTCCACTTTTATTTTAAACTTTCTTTCATTTAAAGAATTCCAGCTACTAAGTCAAAATTGTTAACTTATTTTTAGAAAGAGTATGTTTTTAGATCACAGGATCCGAGAAATAATTTGTGTTGGTTACAACTCCTTTCAGATAAAATGTAAATTCGACACAGGTTTTGTGTTCAAGTAAAATTAGTTGTTCTGTTTCTGATGCATTGAGACAACTGTAGGGCAATGCAGGTCTCTTGTCAGTGACAGTCATTAGATTCAGTCTTTGCTCCTTCAAACTTTCACTCCTGCAGTTCTCAGCCTTTGCCTTTCCAGCTCCATTCAGATTGTGTCTTTCTTTTCTATCTCTGGAAATAGTTGTCCTTGTACTTGTAGCAGTTCTTCCCCACTTTTGTTTCCTTCCTTCCTTCAACCACATTGTCAGTCACAAGTGAATGTTCTGCCCAGGTTAGTGGTCACAGAACTTCAGATTTACACAGAGCAGAAAACTATTCCTGCAAGTTAAGTATGCATTGGGCTATTCCCAGGTCTTAAATGGAAAGGGAAGTGACACTCACACTACATTTCTTTTTGTCTCCCTTCCCTTTGAGCAAGTCAATTTCCTTTTATGGACTAGTTTACAGGGCGGTTGTGGGCAGACTTAGTAGTAGTATTTATTTAATATCATATTAAGTATGAAAAGGTGAGG